CACACAGTGGGCATGCACTTCAAAGGAGTTGTTTCTGTTTCTTTCTTCTGGGTCCTGGGATGTATGCAGAAAGCACTGGCTTTCCTGGATGCAGCTCTCCCAGCCACACTTACACTAAAGCGATTGGGCCTCTCAGTAATTAAACAAGTGGGTTCTTCAACATTAAAAAAGGATGATTTGATCTATTTTCAGGCACTTGAATCTGGCTTTCAGTTGGGCCATCAGTACGGAACAGCAATACCTACAGGTAACTGTTAGAATGACTGAGCACACTTAATATTAAAAGGCAGTGCTGGGTGTGCTTTTTCTATAAAGCTTACAGATGACTAGCAGTAATCCTAAGAGTCAATAACCCTTTATCAAATGGGGTCTATAAATCCAGAGGAGTCCTCAAATCCTTTTCTACTGTTTAGAAATTCTACAAGTTTGTTTTCATTTTAATGATAATTTTTTAATGCCATGTTCCACAGGTAAAAAGATAGCACATTATCTAAATTGCAGCTGAGCAGTATCTTTCCTGGAAGCTGTGTTGATTCTTAAGTGGGAAACTTGGCCATATTCTAAGGAAATCAAAGAAGCAAGAGGGAGAGGAAAGAACACCTTTCACTGATAATTTCCCCTTCACCTCCAGGATTCTGATAATTACTTTAAGAAAGGATGCTCTAAAGGTCGCAGTTACATGCAGACTCCTTCTTCCCTTTTTATGTTATTCTAGCTAATTATTTGGAATATCCAATATGGAGTCCTTTGTTTGTCAAATGCTCACTCTTCCTTTTAGATTCTCCAGATACTCACCACCCATACATATATCATCATGGCCTATAAACTTTTGTGACCCAAGGAGAAATTCATTTACTACTCTGGCATGTAAATTTAGATAACGTGAAAACTTCTATGTGAGATGTTGGCCCTGACTCTAGAAAAATAAGATGTTCACATTTTTATTGGGGTTGTTTGGTGTAAAAGTCACAAAGAATATGAAACTCTGCAAAAGATGGACATCAAAAGCCTTCCTTCTATTTGCATATTTGAAAGAAGCAGTTCCTATCATTCATATGAGAGACAAGTAAAAATATTAAGGAGTGTAAAACATTTACACAACAGCTTGAATCTTGTGTCTGTTTTCCACAGAGGTTCAGTGTTAAAAGGATTAAAAAAATCCAATGTATTCTAAATAAATTATACTCTTATTCTTTTCAAGATGATTTGGGAAATTTCAAGAACTCACAATTGTTGGGATAAGGATCACAGTGCATACTATCTACCCGCCCTCTTTCTCCTAGTTCTAGTCTTGCACTCAGCCAGAATACTGATTCGCAAACCTGACTGGCCTTATATACGATGGCAGTGCCCAGGCACCATACCCAGACATTTGAATGCAAATAGTCTGTTTTGAGTCCCTGGTATCAGTGTTATTTTCAAAGCTCCTTTGGAATTCTACTGTGCAGCCATCACTGAGAGCCATTGACATCAAACATTGTGAGTAAGCAATCCACCCCCAAGGAGTTCACAACCTAGTGGAAGACAGGTGTCCAGAGGCTCCTGTACAATTCCTCCTATTACTGCACCATGACCACAGTTTTTATTTTATTACGAAAATTAGCATTTGTCACGTTAGGATATGTCACATGCATCAACTGAAGGGGTAGAATATTACCTCCATTTTTCAAAAGATAAAGGTCCTTGAGCAGGCACTGTCACAGTCACTGGGAGTCTGGCACTCTGTGGGGCACTGGGGGTAAACCTCAGGTTAAGAGGCCAGACTGCTGTCTGCAGGCAGGTATCAGGAGACTGCCTGCAGTCCAGGAGGCAGAGCATTTTCAAAAATGTCCACAGCCCTCCAGATCCTGCCTTGGCCAAGTCCACAGGCAGGGGGTTTCTCCTCAATTCCAGCATCAGGATCCACTGTTGTTAGCAATAGGAATCTACTCCATCTGCTTGTGCTCCTAGGAAATATCTAGCAGGTCTAGGGAGAATGATAAGGATGTGTTTCTACTTTAATGCAACCCTCCCATTACTCTTTCCATTACTGACATCAATCATACTTGAAGACCATTATTAAGTCATGCTGCAATCTTCACCTGCCCAGATTAAAGAGCCCATCTCCTCTGACCTTTTCCTCAGAGGAGTGACCTCACGGACCTTTTAGTATATTCACTGCTCTTTTCTGAGCTCTGTTCAGTAGTCATTAAATCTTGTCTAAATAGAAATCATGTGGGCTTGCCCCGTAGGCTCTGGGAATCTGGATAGACTTTACCTGTGGGGCATTCACATTAAAGACACATGATCTAATATTTCATGCTGTCTAATTCTGATTTAGACACCATTTATTGAGCCCATATGTACTAGGCATTATCCTAGGGGACTTCCCATGTCATCTCACTGATATCTACAATGGCCTTTGAGGAAAGTACTGTAAATTCCCATTTTATTGAGGAAGAAACTGAGGCTCCAAGAGGTTAAGTGACTGGTGATCTGTCCAAGATCATATAGCCAAGAGCCAGAACAAAAGCTGGGAAGAGTAGGTAAAAGGCAGCAGGATACAATAGTTAAAATCAGTTCAAGGAATAGACCCCCATCCATTCCACCCAGGTGGTCTAGGAGGCAAACGTTAAAGAAAAAAAATTAAAACAGTCTTTTGAGAGGAACAGAACATTATAACATTATAATTGGCTGAACTACTTCTTTCCCCTCTCGAGTGCTATTGGTTAGGCACATGTATATGCTAATGAGCACTTGGAGGAGGTGAGCAGGGCCCTCTCCTGCCCATTACACATACAGAGGAGCTTTAATCAGGTATTCATTGCAGAGCAGTCCAGATACTCTCCCTGTAGACAGAGGCCTGAAAGCTACTTTAACTCAAAGAAGGAATTACTGTGCAGGATTTCCTGTCAGAGAAGTGAGACAATTTAGCAGGCCTGTGCAGACCTTGTCAAGCCAAATGGACAGTCTAACAGCTTCACTTACAAAAGGGTCTGCCAGGTTGTGTGACAGCAGGTGCTTCCCAGACAGTGAACTGTCCGTCCCCCATGTGTGACTGGGTCCCGCTGCCACACACAATCTTACACTTGACTGATTTGCATTTCTTCTTGAATGGGAAAAAGAGGCAATTTGTATGGAAGAAGAGCAGCCCCAATCCCTTCTTGGTAACTGAATGGTTAAACCAGACGTAGCCCCTGGGCTTAGAAGGGCTTAAAGATTTTGCTGATTCCAAAACCAATAGTAAAAGCTTCAGGAAAACTTCACTTTATACTTCAGAAAGGGAAGGGTTTTTGCAGTTAGACCAAAGAGAGTGAGTGGATCACTAGTCATTTGCTGTTTTTTATAGTCTCCCACTGTGTACTGATTAATTTGGGAGACAGAAAAAAAATGGTGAATTTTACATAAGTAGTTTTCCAACATGAGTTCTACTCACTCCTGCACCACCATGAGGGGGCTTGACGAGGAGGAGTCCAGCCAGGGCAGGAAGATGAGGAAGAGGCACAGGAATAAGAGCAAACAAGAAAACATTGATTGACTTGGAGATGTTTATGGTGGTGGTGGTGATTAAGACTGTGGGGAGAGGTGATAGTGGAAAAGTGGAAGGAGAGCTGGAATTTTATCAGCCTTTCAACAAACTCAATACCCATGGTAGCAATATATTATCATAAAAGAAGCTGTTTAAAAAGATTCGTTCCTAAAAACTGTGCCTGGAGAGAAGTGCTGCTCTCTTTGCTCCACCCAGTGTAACTTCCGCTATCTCCCGGAGGGTCCGCAAAAGGGGCGGGCGCCGGCTGAACTAACCTGAATCACCCTTTATTGATTTCTCCTTCTGTCTTTCTGGTAACAAGGAGGAGGGCTCAATTCTCTGAGACTTCCTAATACTTTTCATTAATGAAGAGAGAGAAAGACCCATAACTGTAGGTATAGAGCAGAGCTGGAATTTTTAAAATGTTTAGTTTCTATAGTATGTATTTTTATCATATGATCTTCTGTTTCAAGCAAGCAATTTAAACATTTCTAGCAATGATAACAAATCCTTGTTAAGTCAATTTATTTAAGAGTTTAAATAAAGAGGAATTATATCTAATAATTGTACAGGTGCAACTCGGATAATGTCATGGAGGTAGTGATATCTTTAAAATATTAGTTAAGTAAGATAAGTTCCTAAAATGCTAAAGTAGTTGATGAGATAGCTCCTTGCCAGTACAGATTTTCAAGCAGTGGCCTGATGGCTGGCTGTTAGGACATTCTAGAGTAAGTCCGATGTAGGACTCACTAACCTCTGATGTATCTTCAACTTTGAGATTTTATAATTCTTTCCTTTTCTTTCTTTGAACCTCTATTACTCAGCTTGTGCTATAGCTAACAAACACAACATTTCTCAATGAATTACAACAAAAACAATAAAACATTTGCTTCTTGCACGTATTACATAAGGCTGCAAGCAGCTCCAGCTCTGTTCCAGATCTACTAAGAATTTGTTCCACTGGTTGTGGACATTGGGATGAGAGAGCTTTCCCTTAGCACAACAAGCTTCTTCCTGTAGTAGGGAGCATCTGTTTGGAAGTACCCCAGAGCCTATTCACTCTTATGCTCATGGCCAAAGCAAGTCCAACGGCCAGTTTTGCCAAAGGCGCCTACAGGGAACTCGGTAAGTGATGTGACAATGGATGCAGATGTATATTCCCCTTATGTGGGTGGGAAGTCACAGATAGCTATGAATGACATCACAATTTAGCACAAAGCCATTCACCATTCAGGCAGGGGACATGTGGATCATAATTAAAATTTTCCCAGTAGGGCGCAACTTCAGACATCAATATTTTCTACTAAAATGACACTGAGATATGGCCTGTCATGTCTCCACATAATTAAAAAAGCATAGATAAAATAAATAGAAGAGCTTTCAAGGAGGCTGGGTTATAACAAATGTTAACATGAGGCAAAGGAAACATTTAGGACATTAAGATAGATTTTACTTTTAGCTTTTTTTCCCCTTTTGTTTTCCTCACATGCAGGTTGAGAGGCTGCTGGCCACATCGGAAAGAATGTGGGGACCACTAACAGCAGTGTCCAACTTTCTGGCATCTCTGGGTCACACTGGAAAAAGAAGAGTTGTCTTGGGCCACACATTAAATACATTATGACATGTAATTACAAAAAAAATCTCATAATGTTTTAAGTAAATTTATTATTTTGTATTGAGCTGCATTCACAGCCATCCTGGGCTACATGTGGCCCACGGGCCACAGGTTGGACACCCCTGCGACTACAGGGACATACAATGCATGACATGGAAGGAATCCCTTTCCACTCTGGTTCTCTAAGATGTCATCCAGCTCTAATATTCTTGAATTGAGATAAGAGATGTGAAATAAGGTTTGTTGAATAATAGGAGGGAGGGAGGTGGGGGACTTGGAGGAATGAATCATCTTTAGTATTAGTTGAATTAGCTAAAGTTAGTAATTAATACTTTGTGCATTAATTAATGATTACTATATGTAGTAGCTCCCCATAGTCATTCTACAGAAGATGATAACTCAGATTAGATTTTATTGAAATGGGAAGTAAAAAAACCAAATACCCAATTATAACAGAGGGATTGTGGAAGGAAGGAAAGCGCTTACATCAAACTCCACAATACAAGGGAGGAATTCACTACAGCATGAACTTTCAAGTTATTCTGGAGTAAAGGGTTAGGAGTTTTACAGTTTAACTCCCAGCTGCTACAGAACTATCCAACAATCTTGAGTAAATTTCCAATCTCTATTGACCACAATATACTTCTATAAATTAGGGACAGCAAAATTTAATGCAAATTTAATGAATTTTGATTAAATGCCCATGATGTGCTGGGTATTGTTCTAGGTTTTGGAAATTGGGCAGTAAGCAATGCAGAAGTCTGTGTTCTCTTGATGTTCACACTATAGAGAGGAGCACAGACGATAAATCTATTACTATATACCATAATGTTAGGTGGTATTAACTGGGACGGAGACAGCTAATTGGATGTAAAGCAGCCCGGATCAGTGGTGGGAGATCTATATTAAACCAGGAAGTCAGGACAGGTCTGCCTGAGCAGAGACCAGAAGGAAGAATAAGTGGGAACCACAGACCCTCTGGGGTGATGGCCACTCCAGGCAGCAGATACAGAAAGTGCAACACCCCAAAGAAGAAATGAAGTCATTAGAGTTAATGAAGAACAGTCAATATGACTGAAAGCAATTTAATGGTGATAGTGACAGGAGATGAGAAGAAAGAGGTAATGGGAGGCCAGATTATACAGAATTTCACAGGTCCAGGTTGAGATTATGATTTAATATGAGTGGGATGATATTCCAGGAGACAGTTTTGAGAAGGAGAAATACCTTAAAAATAGTACATGGTATATAACGTTATTTAGGAAACACTCTATTTCCCTTCCCTTATCCCTCACACAGTAAAGTACAACATTCCACAGGTTCTTGGAATACCATAGGCTCTTGGAACAGAGATTTGTGCAAAGGTAAGGAATATTCTGTTCTTGTTAATACAGTTAGTAGAAAGAGTTGAACTCTAAGCCTGGTTTGACTCTGGTATACTACAGGGTGCCCACATAAACCTCATAATTTCCCTCCAACTCATTTGTCTGCTCCCTCCCAAAAATAGAACTGGTTATGCGCAAATTATCTTGCCCACAAAATCCAGATCCTTCTCCATGTTCCCTTGTACCCAATAACATTTGACAAAGAGAGTGCCAGGTTAGCTAGGATGACAGTAATTTCTCAATCTGGGAGAAAATTGAAAGTATTCCTTCCTGTCTTAAAGAAAAAACAAAAAATAAATAAAAACCTGATAATCTAACACTGTATGAGTAAAATTAAGATCACGTCTCAGAAATCCTTCTTTCAAATATGAACAGATAATCTCAAATGAATAATATAGTAGACCAACGATATTTTCTTGTGGACAAATCAATAGGTTAGCCAGTTGGTCACCTAGAAGACCCTGAATATCCATCTAATGTAAACAAATGAATGTGATCAGGCAAAATAAAAGGAAAATGGTTGGAAGACATTAAGTGCTCAAGGACTGCTGGCCTAGAGCCCCACAGACATTGGACAGGAACGAGGCAACTAATGGAAACATGAGACTTCTCATCTATTATTCTACATTCCTCCACCTGGAATGTTGTCCCCATCCCCACACTCATCTCTTTTTTGAAGAGGCCAGTTCAAAGGCTGCCACAGTCACAAAGATTCCCTGATTCCCCCACAGGAAGAATCTCCCATCTGAGCTTTTACAAGTGTACCTGTGCCTCCTGATGGCACTAAGCACTTTCTACACCTTGGATGTTAGTTTCCTTTTTTCCTGCATGTTTTGCCTCCCCTAATATTGTATATTAAAAAAAAAACCTCGAGGGTAAGACTAAGTTTGATTAATCTTTGTATTTCCATTCTCTAAATCTGGGAGCTTTGCACAGTGCTTCATACAAAGTGAGAACCCAATAACTTGCAATAATATGGATGGCTTAAATGGAAGGAGGGAAGGAAGGAAGAAAGGAAGGAAGGTGCTTCTAGCAACATTTCCTATTTGATGGTTTCCTCTTGGACATTCCTGTCATCTCAGCAGACACCAACAACATGGATTTTACAGATTGTCCAAGAAAAGCAGAGCTTTTTCATTATTTTTCTAGGTATCATCCCTAATTGTTCATTCCAACCCACCTGATTTGATTCAAATATTACACTGATCCTTCTCCTTCTCTCAGTATAATGAGATAACAAGATATGTAATAAGTTGTGGAAATTTTTATTTTCCAAGAAGCATTTCAGAATGAGCTCTGAGTAACTAACAGCAAACCTGGCAGTGGCAAAAGGCCAGGAGGTGATTTGTGACTCAATAATAATCAAAAGAATTAACCTGCTTAGAGGCAGGAGTTAAAATAATGTTGCAATGTTCCAAATTTTTAAAGTTCAACAATTTGCAGTAAGGGAAAAACAGGTCGCACTTGATAAGCAGTATCTCTAATATCCAGATGTACAATCAAACTAGTGATGAACTAAGCTGGAGACAGGAAGGGGGTTTGATAATTGGAGAAATTAGAGAATTACATTTTCCAGTGACTAGAGGTGTTAACTGAACAGCCAGCCCCAGCTGGGCAGAGAAGTTTCTATAAAAAAAAAAAAGAAAAAAAAAGACAGTGAACATTGTATATTCCTTCTGAGAACCTAGACAATTCAAAGGTTACCCGGAAAAAAAATCAGTCTTGCCCCATTGACTCTGAGGCTAAAGTCATTCCCAAAGTTGAACTAAGTTGAACTCTGTGGTGTCCAGGAACAGGCCAAAATAAATGTTTTCAAACTTGTTTCTTTTTTTATTTGTTAACAAGAGTCAACATGGACTTTTAATGTGAAGCAAAAAAAATTATACTCCACTTGTAGCTTTATATACTCAGGAATCTACATCTACTGCTTTCACACACATGTGAGTACATGCACAGGAACATGTCTGTGCATGTGTGTGTTTGTTCAGTGAACTGATGAAGAGCATGAACTTGGCAGTCACATAGAATTGGTCGAGTGTCTCATTACTGATAGGCCTAGGTAGGCCTAGGAGGAATGGAAAATCACCAGGTGGAAAAACTACACCATGGGAAACTATAGCCAGGAAAATGCCTGCCTGGGAAACTGCCTGCCGCCCCTACCCAGGACAAACAGATGCCCGGCTAAGATTGGGGTCTGGGGTCTGCCTATCCAGCATCACAGGATGCAGCTTTAACTTGAGCCTGACAAGATGTATCAAGAACAATAGTCAGCAGAAATGGCACCCAGCAACCAGCTCTAGCCAATCAGACTCTGACACCACAACCAGTTACCCTTTGTGGGGTTTTGCACTTAAAAACCCTGCCCTAAGAACAACCAAATGAGCCCTAACCTCCCTCGGTTGGTTCCACTTTCCCTCTTATTTTCCTCTAATAAATCCTGCTCCTTAGCTTGCTGCGTCCATCTGGTTTCTTGAGCAACTACAACCTAACAATTACAGCTTTTGATCTTGCACAAATCCTAAGATGTCCAAGCCTCGGTTCCTTTATTTCTATAATGACAGTAACGATGGCAACTTCTTCACTGACCTGTTGTGATTACTGGATGTAATGAGAAATGAAAAAATGCTCATCACAGTAGGCGAACCATGTATGGCCATTATTGTACTGTTATATCACATTCACATAACCTTTGAAATTACTTTCAGTTCTTTAACGTCTATATCATTTAAGGGGAATATCGTGTTTCTTCCATTTATTTACCAACATTTCCAGCTCACCAGCTAGGAAACATGACTCTGTGGATCAGAAAGTCCTGAAAATAAATCAGAAAAAAACCACAAACTGAAATAGTTTTAATAAAGTGTGTTCTAGGGGGCAAGATTGAAAAGTGGCAGGCCTGATAATTTTATCTTGGGCTCAATTTTATTCATATTCCCCAGGCTACTCTCCCTTAACTTTCTGAATTCATTTCCAAGCATATAATCTTTTCTCAAACACAGAGAGAGAGACCATTGAAAAGAGGTAGAAAATGAGTGATAGACAACGCGATCTGTGCACAGGGCCATTTTCCTGTCGTTTTCTGGCTATAAGGATTGACAAATGCTAGCAAACGGCAAGCAAGTGAACCTGGGAAAAATTTCTCTGAAGGTTTTGTAGCCTTAAATAGATGTGATTTGTCTTGGGGTTTGAGGACCGTCTTTTGTAAATATAACAATGAGAATCGATGGCCATGAACATTTGTGACAATTATGTGTGAAACAACTTGCTATGTATTTTACATTCATCATTAAGTTTAACTTTTACAACAACTATGGTGAAGATAGCTCTATTCTTATCATTTTATACATGAGAAAGTTGAGGCCCAAAGAGTTTGTGAAATCGTTTGTCCAGGTGACACAGCAGTAATTGGGAAGGCAAGGTCTGAGCTCAGGAGTCAGAACTGCAGACTGCTGCCCAGTACGGCCTCTGCTACAACCTCTGGATCAGGGCTGCTCAGCCAGCAAGCTCTGGGCATCCACTCTGTGCTGCTGTGCCAGATGCTGG